TTGAAAGATTACCAGTTCATTTAGAAGATCAGCAATCTATTATTGTTAACCAAAATGAACAAATATCTACTGTGTTGGCAAAATCTTTTAATACAAAATTAACAAGATATTTTGATATGTGTAATGCAAATCAAGATGATCCTGATATAATGAATTTACAATATATAGATTTTCCAAAATTTTTTGTTTGGAATAATGGATTCTGGAAACGAAGAAAATGAGGTGGTGAAAAAATTATTTCTAGAATGTATATGTGTAGTCCACATGAAAAAGAAAGATTCTTTTTGCGAATGTTATTAGCTCAAGTCAAAGGTGCTATTAATTTTAAAGCAATTCGAACTGTAAATGGAATACTTTATAATACATATGAAGATGCAGCTCGCCAACTTGGATTATTGGATGAAGAAAATAATGAATTTGATAAATGCATTAAGGAAGCTGCATCTTTTAAAATGCCATCAAAATTACGATAATTATTTGCTTCAATCTTACTATTTTGTGATCCACAGGAATTGGATCCAAAAAAATTATTTTATGAAAATGTACATTTTTTAGTTGAAGATTATGAAAGAAAACAAAAAAGACTTACAGGAAAAAATGAATTAACTGCAGATGAATATCGAGTAATCATTACCAAAGCATTAATAGATATTGAAAAATATTTATCATATTATGAAAAACATTTAACTGATTACTCATTTCCTGCACCTGATTATAGTTTGGTTGAAGATGCTAAGGAATATAGTATATGGGATCAGGAAGTTGATTTTGATTCAAATGAAATCAATCATATATTACAAAAAGAATTTCTTTTGAATATTGATCAAAAATTAATTTATAATACTATTATTAAAGCTTTAAATGAAAATAATGCAAATGATGAAAATAATACAACCAAACAAAAAGTCTTTTTTGTTGATGGACCTGGAGGTACAGGAAAAACATTTTTATTCAACATGCTATTAGCACGAACAAGAAGAAGTTTTGGAATTGCTCTTGCTGTTGCTTCATCTGGAATTGCAGCTTTATTATTAACTGGAGAGAAAACAGCACATTCCAGATTTAAAATTCCTTTAAAAATTACTGAAACTACAACTTTAAATATTAGTAAACAGTCTGATTTGGCTGATTTAATACAAAGTAGTAAGCTTATTATTTGGGATGAAGGACCAATGGCACACAAATATGCATTTGAAGCACTTGATCGAACACTTAAAGATCTAATGGAAAATGATGAACCATTTGGAGGAAAAATTGTTGTAATTGGTGGTGACTTTAGGCAAATTTTGCCTGTTGTACCTCGAGGAACACAAGCACAAATTGTTAATGCCTGTATTAAATCTTCTTATTTATGGAAACATGTTAAAACATTGGCATTAACAATTAATATGAGACTTCAAAACCAAGATGAAGAGGAAAAAGAATTTGCTGATTATTTATTAAGAATTGGTGAAGGTCGTAAACCAATATATACAGATATTGGTAATAATATTGTGAGATTAGATGATAATATGGTCTTTAATAATGAACAAATTGAATCATTAATATTGGATACATTTTCTGATATTAATAATAATTATCAAACTGATAATTATTCAAATTATATTAAAGATCGAGCTATTCTCACATTAAAAAATGAAGATGTTGATTATATTAATGAACAAATTATTAATATATTTCCAGGACATTCATATGAATTTTTATCAGCAGATTCTGTTGAGGATAAGGATTTAGTACATCAAAATCTTTATCCAGTTGAATTTCTTAATACTTTGACACCAAGTGGAACTCCTCCTTATAAATTAATATTAAAAATTGGAGTTCCAATAATTTTATTACGTAATATTAATCCAAGTGAAGGTCTTTGCAATGGAACTAGATTAATTATTAAAGAAATTCAACAACATGTTATTGATGCAGAAATTGTTACAGGCTCACATCTTGGAAAACGAGTTTTTATTCCTCGAATTCGAATGGCACCTTCTGACTCTAATTTACCATTTCAATTAATACGACGCCAGTTTCCAATACGTTTAGCCTTTGCAATGACTATTAATAAAGCACAAGGCCAAACAATTCCATATGTTGGTTTATATTTGCCAATACTTGTATTTGCTTATGGACAACTATATGTTGCTTTATCTAGAGTTAAATCAAGAAAAAATATTAAAATATTAGTTAAAAATGGGCAAAACAATATTATAATTGGAACATTTACAAAAAATATTGTATATAAAGAGATTTTTAAGTGATTACATTATATATATTATATTTATTATATTTATATATTTTGTATATTCTATATATTTTGTCTATATTATATATTTTATTTATATTATAAATTTTTATATTTATTATATTATATTTAATAAATGCTTTTATTATATTTGATTTTATATTTTAATAATTTATTATATAATTAAATAATTAAAACAACTTTCAGGTTTGAGATTTAGATTAAATAAGATCTATTCCTAGAGCAACACCTGGGCCTGAGACCTAGATTAATTAAGATCTATTCTTAGAGCAATACCCAGATCTGAGATTTAGATTAAATAAGGTCTATTTCTAGAGTAACATCTGAGCCTGAGATCTAAAACACTTAGGACCTAGCCCCGGGGCAACGCCCGGGCCTGAGACCTAGTCATTATATATTTATTATTATTACATAATTATTCAAAGTTTTTTTTTCTTTTTTTTTAGATTTATAAACCTATTCAGTTGTATTGTTTGAAAGGTAACGAACATTTTGGAATTTTTGAACATAGAAAACAACCTAAATAATAACTCATCTATCCCTTATCCTGCTAACCCAATTTCCCAATCTAATACATCTAACATCACTGAACATCATACAACCAACACAACCTGCTCTTGTTCTAATACACCTAACATCCTGCACCTCATCAACTACCTCAACCACCTTATAAAACTTGTAATGAATCTGATTTTGATTCATCTATTCTAAGTACACAAACTATTTTTTCTACTATAGGTAAAGATAGACAACACCACCAAATGCAACAAACCCAACCAATCTGATCAAGACAATTCACCTCCAGGCAACCATTCTCATTGCAACAAACCCAACCAACCTGATCAAGACAATTTACCTCCAGGCAACCATCTTCATCTAAACCTATCTTTCGATCTAGATCTGTATCACTACAGCAGACTCGAGAAAGATCATTATCACCTGATCAACAATCTTCCAATCAGAACCAAATACATAATCATGATAATCATAAAGGTATAAAAATCTTTTTTTTTTTTTTAACTTTAGATATTAATCTTAGAATCATAACCTTTTTTTCTTTTTTTTTTGAACCTTTGGAGATTTTTTTTTTTTTAGTTTTTGAGCTCATTCACACTACTGCTACCATGAGAAAGAAGATTAGGAATGTTTATTTACCCAAAACCACCAACTGTATCTCCTAATTAAGAAGCTAAATGATGATCTTCAAGATTTTAGAAAGGAAATAAGAAGTCAAAGAAATGATTAAAGCATTTCAGGTTCTGATTTCTCGGTGAAAATGTGAGATGTAAGTATTATAAAAAAAAATGTATAGATATATTTAGAATATATATTAAGTGTTTTTTATATTTTTGCAAAACATGTATATTAGTGTTACTAAATACCTTTTTCCACAAGTGATCTATCCTACCCAAGACAAACTTAAAGAGTCTCTAAAGAACTACCTTAATGAAAGGTTCCCTAATTTTATGGCCACTTTAAGTTCTTATGAGTTTACTAACTATTTTCACAGTATGTGGTGCAGTCAAGTAAGTAATATTATTTGTATTTATTGTCTTTTATTTTTATGATATATGAACTTTAATAATACACTATCTTTTCAATAGCTTTTACAAAAAATAAAGAACCATCATAGTTCAATGCTGCAGAATGTTCGTTCCATAGTTTGGAGTATATTCAATCATGAAAGACTTTTCTTCTGAAAATTGATGCTGCTATTGCAGCTATATTTGCATAGAAGCAAAGTAGAGAAGTAAGTGATTGCTATTATTCACTTTTTGAACAAAATGATAAAGGCATTTTTTGGGTCACTATTATTGCAAGAAGTACATTCTTTACAGCTACTGCTCCTGTTCTTACCAATCATCACTGTGCATTCACACTGGTTATATGTAATATTTTATTAAACCCTTAGTTAAAAAATATAATTTGTAGCAGAAAGCAGATTAAGTGCTGTATAGCACAGTATTTGGTAATTAATTATAGTAAATCAATATAAATCGATTTATACAACTCAAAAAAGTAATACTGACCTTTATTTATTGTATAGAATGATTTTTTCAATAGTGGTTCTAGTCAAAAGTCAGCAAACAAAATAATTAATAAAGAACTTGCAATAATACAAAACTGTGAACAAGCCACTAATCTCTGCCATGACCATAATCCTCACCATGACTCTGATTCTGCCTCCTTTTCCAAAATAGTTCTTTGATGCTTTCATAGGAGAAACAGGTTAAATTGTTTGGCATTGTTTAATAGTGTTTTTTTTTAAAATGTTTATGTATTATTTGTATTGCTTACTTGTAACATGCATTGTATTAAATTTTATATATTGCATATATTGTATGTATTGTATATTGTAAAATAAAATAAATTAGTTGCTTCTCAATTTAATGCTCTTTTAATTTGATATTTTCAAAATCAATTGCTGCAATATTAAATATGGCAATTTATATGTTTTTAGTTATATATTAGTTTATATTGATCTATATCTTTTTGGCTACATATTGATTTTTATTTATTTGGTTATATATCGATTTTATTTATTTGGTTATATATCGATTTCTATTGTTTTGGTTATGCATCGATTGGTATCATAATTATTATAAATGGGCAAAGGTGATTAATATCGTTATATATTCTATAGTTAGTAATTGATATATAGCAGTTTATTTTTTTTGCTGATGCCCAAGCAGGGGTGTTAGGTATGACAATTGGTGGAGAACCTTTAGGCAGACTCTTTAAATAGGTAATATAGAAAAGTCACACATGTAGCCAATTGTATGCTCTTCTGTAGTGGTTCATTGAACAAAAATACTGATAAGTGATTAATAAAAGTCAAAAAACCAAAAAGGTCACTTTAAAAAAAAAAAAAAGATTATATTTAAAAATTTTTACTATTAAAATTTTTTAAAATTTTATATGTTTTCAAAAACTAAAAAAAAATTTATACTTTGTATAAGTCTAAATTTTTATAAGTAAATTGCAAAAGTGATACTAATAAAAATTGTCATTCTTTATATAAACTAAAATATTGGATTAAGAACTATTGGCTTAAAATTAATATTTAAAGAGTTCGCTAAAAATTTGTAAATAATTTTTTTTGATTAAAAATTTTTTTCAAATTTGTTTATTCTTAGCTTATAAGTAATATATAATTTTTTTCTTATAATATAAAATTAAATATTGCTATAATGTAATCTTTATTTTTAAATATTATCAAATAAAATTTTATTTAAATATTTTAAAATTTAAAAAATATAAATTATAAGCATATTTTTAACAATTTTCTAGACAAATTTGTTTGAAAAAGTTTACAGATTAAGGTATATCTATAGTCTAACAGAAAAAATAATAGCAGAAAATAGAATAAATCAAAATAAACTAATATTACTATTAATATAATACCTTTTTTATGATTTATTATTAAAAAAAATACACAGATCATCAAAACAAACAAAATTGACAAAAAACTAAAAATAATACTACAAGTACCCTTCGATAATATAACTTTCCTTAAAGAGATTGGATCTAACATTGTTAGACTTAGTATTACCAGAAATCCAAACTACAAGTAGCTTAATTTGTTCTGGTTTCTAGTGCAAAG